TGGAGGGTGATTATAGAGAGGATGGAGATGGGCTTTTCTCTGTGGTTATAGGAGGGACGGGACTAAGACAATGGTCGCAAGATGCAGCAAAGGAAATTTAGGTTGGAGATTAGGAAAAACTTCCTGACTGTGAGGGTGATCAGGTATTGGAACAGGCTACCTAGATAAGTTGATGAATCTCCATCCTTGGAAACTTTCAAAGGCAGATTATACAGACACTTGGCTGGGTGGTTATTCAGGGATGTTTCTATCTTGATCAGGGGGCTGGACAAGATGACCTTGTGATGTCCCTTTCAGCCCTACTCTCCTATGATCAGGTGATCTCTACTACTGCTGTCCAAGGTCAATCAGAACTAATCTCTCAGGCACGGTTATAGGTATGTTCTTCGCTTTCTTTTCATTACATCTATTTTCATCCCAAATTTTAAGAGCATTGATTATCTACAGATTGGTAAAAAAGATATTTTGTTTAGACTCAGCTTGGGTGTCTGTAAAAAATTAACAGTAAAACCTCAATTTACTGCATAGAGGACAATATTTTAATTACACATTAAACACATATCCAGTTTTGTAGTGGAGAATCTTCTGAACAGTTTTGTGATCTGCTTTCAATATCATATATATCATCTTATACACAATATTGCAAAAATTGGAGCCCATGCCTCCACTATAGTTTCTACCTGTGTTTTTTATTTATTTTCTCCCTGTTCTTATATAAGAAATCCTGTGACATTCATCCTACTCTTTAGTGGTTTAGCCCATTTTCGTTTTTATGGGTTTCCTTGAAAAATTTAAAAAATCATCTATGGTTGTTCCAAAGTCATTTGACCTATCCGTTCTTCCATAAATTGCTTTCATATGGTGTTAGAACCATATCTAATTGTGAAATTCCTTTTCAGATGGACCATGCTTGTCCTTCCTGTGTATAAAAGGACTTATATTCATTAGTAAACAAAGTTTTATGTCAGGTTTTCCTAAAAGATTTACATATATTTTAGACATATCTACTGGTTACAAGTGTGGGTTAAATGTTACAGTTGAATCCAGGCCCTACTGATGTCAGCACTAGTTTTGCCATTGCCTTCAGTTGGCACAGACTTTCACCCCTGTGTGCATTATAACAGAGTACTTTAATTCTGATTATATTTTCAAGCATTTGTAAAGCCTTTTTCCTAAAGTACTTTTAAAACATCTGGCTATAAAACAAGTCCATTCTTTTGAAGAGGTATCCAAGAAAGCTCTGAAGCATTGTAAAATGCAGAAACCTTAAATCTATAATCTTGCAATTAACAGAGTAAGAACTGTCAAGCTGACAAAATTCAAAAGGAGATAACTGTCAGTGGGCAAACACCATGTGGGGATCCACAGGAGATTATTCAACATTTTTATCTGTGATTTGGAAGATATAACATTATTGCTGATGAACTTTGTGGATGTCACAAAAGATTGGTGGAGAGGCAAATAATGAGGAAAACAGTGTCTATACAGAAAGATCTGGAAGGTAATCTAGGCTCATGTGAATACAATGCATTTTAATATAAGAA